TAAAAATTCCTAATTATCAATATAATTTTATCTCCATCCACCTATTGTTAAATTTTCATCTTCAATCCTTTCTTCCCTTTTAATCAATTCTTCATCTCTCCTCACTTAACCCTTTATCAGTCCTTAATCTCTAATTCAATATTTCTGCGTTATTTTCACATATCTTTTCCGTATCTCATTCATTCCTCATCACATTAATTATTCAGTGTTCATCCTCTCTAAATCCTTCGTGAATTCTGCCTCATAAATTATTCACTTTGAACAAATTTTCACCTTTTTTATTTTTTATTTTTTTCTCTTATTTTCCATCGTTGCAAAAAAAATCGTCAGTTACTGTTTCTCGTCTATTTTTTCTAATTTGATTTATTCTTCCATGTTATCACAATTATTCCTTATTCACTTTTCTACAATTCCTCATATCTCAGTGAAAGCAACATTTCTTAGTTTAAAAATATGTTCTTAATCTATCATAATTCTGGAACATAATCGTTATCATCATCATCATCATCAACAACAAGAAGAAAAACATGAACATCAACAAAAACGAGACTAAAACACCGACAACAACAACAAAAACAACAACAACATCATCACGAACAAAACAATAACAGCAACAACAAAGCGGGCAACTGCATTCATCCCAAACATCAAAATCTGTCATAATTTGCCTTCATTATTACTAATTAAGCTCATTAGCAATTAGTCTCCTCTCCAAATGATGCTTTCATCCCTAGACTCATCCCACGCCGTTAATTACTCATCTTCGCCTTAATTACTCATCGGGGCCATTAATTAATGCTTTGATTACTTCGTGTCTTTTGGTTAATTTTGTACCGATGCTTCGGGCGGATCTGGATTCGCTGCCGCGGTCGGGTCTTGGGGGCGGAGCCATCCTGCTTCCGTGCTTTGAGCAGGAGATGGCTTCTAATGGGCATAATAGTCATACATACATATATATATATATATATATATATATATATATATATATATATATATATATATATATATATATATATAAATGTATATGTGTATATGTGTATATGTATATATGTATATATATGTATATATATGCTCGTATATACATATATACACACATACACACATACACATACACACACACACACACACACACACACACACACACACACACACACACTTACGCATCTACATACATAACATACATACACACACACACACACACACACGCAGACACACATACACACATGCTGTTAATACCGATAATTCATGCTTCTGTCCTTTAATGGTAATCACACACACGTATTTTTACGCCGTGATGACTAAATGCTTTCAAATGATAATAATTTGCATTTCTTCCGCTCCGATAATCGAGTGTCTGGTGCTGTCCGGGCGCTTAATACTCGGTGATAAATTCATTAATCTTCATATTCTTTGTTGGCTGTGTGCATTTTGGGCGAGGCAAGCGTGATGGAATGGAAGGGAAGAGAGAGGAGAGACGGGAAGAAGAGACAAGAGAAAAGAGGAGAATGAAGAAGAGCAAAAAAAAAAGAAAAAAAAAAGAAACCAGAAGAAAATGATATGACAGTAAAAAAAAAGGAGGGGAGAAAAAAGAGAGAGAGAAAAAGAGAAATGAGATAAATAACCACAAGCCAGAGAGAGAGAAAAAAAGAAACAACAAAAAAGAAAAAAACTGAAAATTACATAAAACAACCCAGAAAAGAAGCGAAAATAGGAAAAGAAAAAGCGAGGAGAATAACCCTTTTAATTGCATGACCTGCAACTTCATTAGCCTCCTCTGCGAGCGGTACAATTAACCGAGAATTGGCTGTCTCTCTCTCTGGCGTCCGGTTAATATATTCGTCCGGATAACTCCCTCGCTTAAACGGCCGCGGGAGAAGGACAGAAACAGAAGAGGGCGGGGATGATGATGATGGTGGAGAAGGGAAAGAGGAAGAGAGCGCTGGGAGAGAGAAGGTGGAGGAGAAAGGAGGGAGGAAGGGAATGGAATGAGCGGAGAGAGAGGGGAGGAAACGAGGAGGGAGGGAGAGAGGGAGGGAGGAAGGAAGGGAGAGAAGGAGGGGGGAAATGGGAGTGATGGAAGGAGGGAGAGAGGAAGGGAGAGGTGGGGGAGATGGGAGTGAGGATGAATGGACGGAAGGAAGGAGATACAAGGAGTAACACAGACAGAAAAGGATATACAAATAGATTAAACAAAGCAAAACAAAACAAAAACACAATCATAAAGAAAAAAAAAAAGAAACAAAAAGAAACGATAACTAAAACAAAGTACACGAAGGAAAAGAAAAAGGGTCAAGAAATTGAAGAAGAAGAAAGGCACTAAAAAAGAAGGAAAAAAAAAAAAAGACAAGAACAGGCACGCAGCCTCAAAAAATAAATCAATCTTCGCGCCGAACATATTCTTTCTGCATACGGAAGTCCGAGACGCCGCCCATTAATCACGAAGGAACGATCCCAGCCTCGGACTCATAAATCAACGGCGGAGACAGACACGGGGACAGGAAGGCGACGTGCGGGGGGGTAGGGGTGGGGGGGATGTGGAAAGAATGCGTGTGTCTCTATCTTTTCGCCTGTTGGTCTCTCTTTTTCTTCTTTCTTTATCTCTCTCTCTCTCTCTCTCTCTCTCTCTCTCTCTCTC